AGCTGCCCTTGCGTTTATTCGACACATAATGAATCGAGAATCCCTACATATTTGCGATCAAACATTTCCCTACGTAACTGCCCATGTATTCCTTGGAGCATGCATAGACAGGGTATTTATTTATTTATTTATTTATTTATTTCAAATACCCTCAAGGTAAGTACATCGAAGAGGGGAGAGAGCTGTAAATTATTAACTATAAAGTGCACATATGAGTAATAACATTTTTAAACATAACAATATCAGTGGTGTTAGCAATTGAGGCGAGAATGTGGTTCCAGTCTATAGATGCTTGTGGCATTAAAGAATATTGAAATAATGAAGTTTTAAAGTTTGGAATACCAACCTTATGGCTATGGTCAATGCGAGCAGATATGTAGAATGGTGGAGTAATTAGTTTAGGACGAAGGGTAACATTTTGATGAAATATTTTATGAAAAAGACACAAACGAGAGATTTTTCGGTGGTGAGTTAGTAACGGCAGACCTAGAGTATTTTTCATGGTAGTAACACTGGCAGTGCGATGATAGTTTGTCAATATAAAACGAGCTGAGCGGTTCTGAATGGATTGAATGGAAGCAATTAGTGACGAGTGAGCGGGGTCCCACACAGCAGCAGCATATTCTAATTTTGTACGGATTAGGATTTTGTACATGGTTAGTTTTAATGAAGACGGATCGAGAAAAAAAATTACTTTTTAAGTATCCTAGCATACGGTTAGACTGTTCATTACGTATTCAATATGAATCTTCCAAGAAAGGTTACAAGTTATATGAACACCAAGATATTTGTAAACAGACACTGAAGCGAGGGGATTATTGTTTAGATGATAAGTATGACACACCGATTGAGCACGTGACACTCTCATCGATTTGCATTTGTTAGCGTTAAGTTCCATTAGCCACTGGTTACACCACAGTGATATACGATTAAGGTGAGATTGTAGAAGAATAGAGTCAGATATGTCAGTTATTTTCCGGTAGATTACGCAATCGGCAGCAAAGAGACAAATAGAAGACGACAAGTTCTGCACCAAATCATTAATGTAAATAAGAAAGAGGAGCGGACCAAGCACTGATCCCTGTGGGACGCCCGAGGCTACTGGAACAGTACACGAATTTTTATTATTAGCTATAACGAATTGTAGGCGGTTAGTTAAAAAGGCATGAATCCAATTTAATATACAGGAATCAATGTTAAGTGATTTATTTTATGAAGAAAGGGTTTGTGGGAAACTTTGTCAAAGGCTTTTGAGAAATATAAAAAAACACATTCGGTTTCAATTTGATTATCAAGAGAATTATGGAGATCATGCGTGAAGGATAGTAGTTGCGTCTCACATGAAAAATGTTTTCTAAAGCCATGTTGTGAACTTGTGAAGAAGTCATTAGTTTCAAGATAATTTATCAACTGTGAGTAAATGACGTGTTTAAATATTTTACATGGCACATTTGTTAAAGAAATTGGTCGATAATTGAATGGGTTTTGTTTTTCGCCAGATTTATGTAAAGGAACCACCTTGCCAACCACACAATCGCTAGGGACTACGCCATGGTTAAGTGGCTGCATATAAAGTTTTGAAAGAATTATTGAACAATACATATTACAATTTTTTAAGAACTTGCTGTTAATCCCATCTATTCCGGCGCAGGATGAAAGCTTCATATTTTTAATAAGGCCAGCAATACCAATCGCGTCAACTGCCACTGGGTCCATAGGCAAAAAATCAGAAAATGACAATACCGGTACTTGGTTAACATCAGATGTTGTAAATGACAAACTAAAAACACCATTTAATACACTTGCACTTTCAGTTACTGGTATATCTATACCATCAGATGATTTAAGAACAATGTTGGACTGACACTTGGGATTAACGACATTCCAAAATTGTTTAGGATTAGCTGCTAGCATGATTTTTAGTGTAGGATTAAAAAATGTGATTTAGCTTCTGTAAGAGCTGATGTATATTCTTGATCTGCAATTTTGTACGCAGCCCAATGCGCATCAGCGGAGGATCGTTTGGCAGCGCGAAACAGTCTTCTTTTTCTATTTCGAAGCCGCCAGAGATTACAGTTAAACCAAGGCGAGTTAGTGTTGCAACGAATCTTCCTTGATGGTATGTACTTTTCAATTAATAATAAAACAACATTTTTAAACAGCATCCAATTAGACTCAACGGAGCGCTCTGAAAACTCGGGTAAGTAATCACTAAGGAACTCAGGCAGGTACAAGTTAATTGATGTAAAATCAGCTCTGCTGTAGTCACGGATTAATTTTATGTGAATTTTAGGCGCTACGAATGGGACATTTAAGGAAAAGTGAAGAGCTGAAGGGTCACCGAGACATGGCAGGTATGTTAGTGATAATATGACGCTCGGATGCGTTTTTAATAAGATATCGAGTATGTTTGATGGAAGGTTTGTAACCCTAGTGGGCTCTGAGACAAGTTGAGAAAAGTTAAAATCAGAAAAAGTTCAATAAACTCGTTAGCTTCAGATGAGAAGGGGGTTGAAACAGGACATACATTAGACCAGATAATGTTGGGGTAATTGAAATCACCCATTAATATGATTGGCACTCCTGGATATTGGACGGTTGGTTAATGCAATTATGTAACAAATTCACAAATGAACAACTGCTAGTGGGTGGTCGATAACATACACCCATTATCGTTTGTTTATGTTTAAAGGAAACGCAAACCCAAACAATCTCCAGTTCACAGGCTACAATGACAGGGCGAGAAACCAATGAGTCAGCAACCGCACACAGAACACCACCGCCACTTCTGTCACGCCTGTCGCAGCGAAATGTATTGAAACGTTTTTTTTACAATGAAACAGCTCGTTATCAGACACTTTGCTAGAAAGCCATGTCTCTGTGAGAGCAGTGACGTCGGCGTCGCATGAGTCAGCAACTGAGCACAATTAATCTCGTTTACGGATTAGACTGCGAATGTTAGTAAATAAAACGGAAACACTTGAAAAAGGCCAAACCACTTTTTTGCCTCGTGCTGATTGTTAAGTTGGCATAGAAGTAGACGCTGTTTGCAAATCGGATAGTGGTGTCGCGGAAGAAACTTCCAGACGACGCATGACTACTTCATAAATACAGTCTTCGATTTCATTCTACGCATAACACTTGTTATTAAGAAAAAGTTTCTTGTAACTTAGCTTAAACTGGTTTTCCTGGCTCTTTCCATACTACAGTAGTTTGCGCCGAGCTAAGCGAGTTGAAAAGCTAAAATCTTCTGAAACAGAAATAGGCTGGTTTTTAATTTTGACTTGGCCTGCAGGATACTTTCTCTAGTTTTAAAAGACTGAAACTTCACTGAAATAGGACGACGCTTTCCTGCTACAAAAAGCCCCAAGCGATGAGCACGCATGATTTGTTCACGCGAAATAATACAAGAAGCTAAATCTGAAAGTAAACGAACCACCTTCTTTTCCGCCTGGGCCCACGTTTCACCAAGGCAATCGTCCACACCATGAAATACAAGATTGTCCCGGCGGGACTGGTCTTCAATCTCATCTAATCTACTGCGCAAAGCATGATTTTCTTATTGAACGCGCTGAACAGATTGGCTGGCACCAGAAAACTCGCTGTGTAATTCATCGATTGAAGACGACTTCAATTCAATCGCAGAAACCCTTTGACCGATATTTGTTACCGTGACTTGTAGATGTTGTTGGTTTGTTTTTAGAACATTAATCGAGCTCAATATACTATTTTGCCTTTCCTCAACTCTCTGAGTTCGCGCATTTGTATCCTGCAACACCCGCATCATTTGATCAAGCTGCTTAGGTGGTTCAATATTAGTTGGTCCGGGGTTAGTCTCGACATCACCTCCAAGCAGCAGCAACAACAATCTGAACGAATTCACCAAAGCTTCTGGGAGTGGAAGCACTATTATACAGACGTCATTAGACTTAAAACAGTAAAAACCGTCATGACTACTAACCTGCAGGGTTGGAAGAAAAAAGTTGACGACGTGCATCGTGTGCGTGCTTCCATGCCCTCTCACGATCCACGGCGACGAGGCCGGCCTCCTGGGTCAATGCGATGATGCGGGTGTCGATGTGGCTGTTCCGGAATGACCGAGGTGAAGCTGGTTGATGACTGAAAAGTTGTTTGCCTTGGTTGCCTGGCGCTTGTCTTCGTTTGTGGTACAGGAAACGTTGATGAAAGGAGAGATGCCATCCAGGTCGGTAGGATATTGACTTTATTGACTTTAAACGACAACACTAAAGCTGCTCAAGAGCTTTGATACATATGAAGCCCAATTAGCCCGATGACCTCGCTCCATCCAAGATGTCGAAAGTGCCACCATGAAGACTTCCTGTTCCTAACGTCACAGTTGAAATTATGGAATCAGGAGGAAAGCAAACACGCCAATAGCTGTGATTGAGCAACTTACTTTATCTAACATATTGTGCAATCACGCTTCAACGAGTCATGTTTATACCGATGGATCGACAACTTCCGATCGTTCAACAGGGTGAGTTGTTTTCCCAAAACATCTCCCAACAGCAACGTTTAAACTTACCTGCAAAGCATCGTCTACAGCATCCGAATTTATCGCAATTCACCAAGCCTTCTAATTTATCTCGTCAAAGCCGTCGAAATCATGGACAATATTTTCGAAATGTAAGCCGGCACTTCAACTGATGCGCACGTTTTTACGGCATAGTCAGAACTGTTGTGTATGTATAAAGCAATGTCACAGGTTCCTATTCTCACCACCAGGGTGCGCTGGTCTTTGCTCTGTAAAATGTGTCTTCGCCATATTAAATGTGTTCTTTGTGTGCTGCTGCTCTGCGTGGGAGCGTCTGTTCTTTGGCGCTTCGGCGCGACACAACAATGGCGACGAGGCTCGGATGGACGATCGAACGAACCGAGTAACAACGTGGCAAACAGCACAATGCCGAAGTTCACGGAGTTCAAGCCGGAGGAGGACGGCGTCGACGAATATCTCGAACGCTTCGAGATTTCCCTTCGAGTGAACGCTGTCAAGACGGAAGACAAGGCCGTGACGCTGCTGAACTACATCGGGAAAGCGTCGTACCAGGTTCTGAAAACCTTGCTCGTCCCAGACTCGCCGGTATCGAAATCGTACGACGTACTTTCCGAGGTGCTGAAACGCCACTACGCGCCCAAGCGCTTAGTGATTGCAGAGCGCACGAAGTTCCATTGGAGAAATCAAGAGGTCGGCGAGAGCCTAGCGGACTTCTCCTTGGCTATCAAGAAGCTCGCCCAGACATGCGCTTTCAAGGACTACCTCGACCAGGCTCTTCGGGACCGGCTCGTGGCGGGGTGTCGCGACCCTGAGGTACAGCGGACACTCATCCAGCTCGACGACGATTACTTCGACGAAGTTCTAAAGGTGGGCCTGGCCAAAGAACTTTCTCTGCGCAAAACGGACGAGATACGGCAGCCCGGCGTTCCGGACTCAATGGACGTGCACCGCGTTCAAGGTGATGGTGGAGGACACTCCGGGTGTCCACCTTCCGCCACTGCATCGCCACAGGTCCAGTATCAGCGTACGGTACGCCCTTGTTTTAGATGCGCTAGTACCGTGCATGCTTCCGAGAAGTGTCCGTTTTCGAAACCAAAGTGTTCCAAATGCGGGAAGCAGGGGCACACTAAGGCGGTGTGTAGGGCCAAGCCTAAGCCTACTTCGAACACCAAGCGCGGACCTTGGAGCGTAACCTGTATGTGGAAGAATGACGCGTCTGCGGCATTCCAGAAGGTTTTGGAAATCGAAGGAAAACCGGTGACGATGGAAATCGACACTGGTTCAGCAGTTACTTTGATGCCAGAAAGAATGTGTGTGAATTTTGTTTTCTCACGTGCCCCTTGAGGCGAGTGACATGCGTCTCCGAACGTACACCGGGGCTCTAGTGCCAATCAAGGGTGTAGCGAGCGTTAATGTAAAAAACGGGGAGCTACCTAGCGAAAAGTTACCCTTGATTGTGGTAAAGTCCGCGAATGCCCAGCTACCAGCTCTTCTAGGCAGAGACTGGATCGAGCAGTTAGAAATTAACTGGTCGGGCGTAGGTCGTATTGAGAACGAGACGATGACAGACTCACTGAAAAGGTCGTTCCCTAGCGTCTTTGAAGGTCCAGTGGGGCCGATAAAGGGTTTTCAGGCAAGGATTGTACTGAAAGAAAACTCTCAACCGGTGTTTTGTAAACACAGAGTGGTGCCATACGCATTTAGAGAGCAAGTAGAGAGTGAGCTTGAGAAAATGGTGGCGCAGGGCATTTTGAGGCCTGTAAAAAGTAGTGAATGGGCAACACCCCTTGTTGTGGTTCCCAAGCCAGGGGGTAAAGTTCGCATCTGTGGTGACTACAGTGTGTCCGTAAACCCACAGGTGACGGTGGAGCACTACCCATTACCGAGGGTAGATGAGGTGTTCAACAACTTTCGGGTGTGTGGCATCTTTGCTATTTTGGATCTAAAGACTGCATACTTGCAGTTATCCCTTGACGAAGCGTCGCGGAAACTGCTCACAGTGACCACTCACCTAGGATTGTTTGAGTTTTTACGTATGCCTTACGGAGTCTCAAGCGCACCAGCAATTTTCCAGAGTGTAATGGATAAGATTTTGTTGGGCCTAACCAAGGTAGCGTGCTATCTTGATGATGTACTGGTGGGTGGCGTAGACCAAAATGACTGCAACCAGAGAGTCTTGGAAGTGTTGAAACGCTTTCAGGAACATGGCCTTTGTGTGAATCAGGACAAGTGTCAATTTTTTGTACGCGAAGTGCGTTACTTGGGATACTTGTTGAGTGACCAGGGTTTAAAGCCATGCCCTGAGAAGGTAGAGGCTATCAAAAAGGCACCCGCACCGAGTAACGTGACGGAGGTTAAGGCATTTGTGGGGCTGCTAGCTTTTTATGATCGTTTCCTCCCAGACTTAGCTGCCACACTGGGACCTTTGTATGAACTCTTAAAGAAAGACAAGAAGTGGCATTGGTCAGAAGAATGCCAACAGGCTGTAGACAGAAGCAAAGATCAGTTGTGCAGTGCTGGGGTAATTGTCCTCTACGACCCTAGTCTACCACTTCGAGTGACGGCCGACGCATCCAGCTACGGCCTCGGAGCAGTCTTAACACAAGACATGGGAAACGGGGACTACAGACCTGTGGAGTTTGCGTCTAGGACGCTTACTGTGGCTGAAAAGAACTACGCACAAGTGGAAAGAGAGGCCTTGGCACTCATATTTGCGGTCAAGAAATTCCACCGGTATCTCTTTGGGCGTTCGCTCACCCTCGTAACTGACCACTACCCGCTAACGTCGATCCTGGGACCTAAGTATTCTACCACAGCCATAGCTGCTGCGAGGATCCAGAGGTGGCGCTTGTTACTTGCAGAGTACAACTTCAAGATCCTGTACCGCAAGGGCGGGGAGCTCGGGGATGCTGATGCCCTATCGAGACTTCCTCTGAAAACAACTGTAGGAGAGGAAAGTATGTTTAAATATTTTTCACCCACAGAGCAACCGCTTCTTTCAAGTTCTGATGTGGGGAAAGAGACCCTCAGCGACCCCTTGCTGCAACGTGTCCTTGAACACACCAAGAGAGGTTGGCCAACATCCGTGCAAGATCCAGGGTTGCAACCCTTCTGGCACAGGCGGGAGACGCTGTCAAAGGACCAAGATTGCCTACTCTGGGGGATTAGAGTCGTGATTCCACAGGCACTACAGGCTGCGGTCCTCAAGAGCCTGCATGAAGAACATCCAGGAATGGTGCGTATGAAACAACTTGCGAGAGGGCATGTGTGGTGGCCCGGAATCGATGCCATGATCGAGAACAAGGTGCAGTCATGCGAGATCTGCCAAGCGGTCCAAAACGACGTTCTTCCAGTACCACTCCAGCCATGGAAGATGACCTCGCGGGTCTTTGAACGTGTTCATTTGGACTTTGCAACCAAGTCGGGAACCAACCTGTTTGTTTTGGTTGACAGTTTTTCTAAATGGGTTGAGGTACTGCCCATGTCTTCCACAACCGCGCCCCAGACAGTCGAGAAACTTATGGCTGTCTTCGCACAGTTTGGACTACCCGAGGAAGTGGTGACTGATGGAGGCCCCCAGTTTCGAAGTGAGGAGTTCAAGAACTTCTTGAAGGATCAAGGAGTGGTGCACACCATGATGCCACCCTACCACCCGGCTTCGAATGGCGCCGCGGAGAGGGCTGTGCAAACAGTCAAGCGAGCGCTGCTCAAGCAGGTACTTGAAGACGACCTCCAAGGGAAGAGAAGGAATATCCATGAGAAGTTGTCGTGTTTCCTACTTGCCTACCGGACGACACCACACACAAGTACTGGAAAGGCACCTGCAGAGCTCTTCCTGGGACGGCTTCCGCGGACCCGACTGTCGCAGCTCAAGCCAGGTGCAACGTCCCTTCCACGACGAGAGAAGCAAAACAAGAAAAAGGAGCTGGCTGACAAGCGCAGAGGTCCAACGAAACTCATTCAAGTGGGCGACAGAGTTTGGGTCAGAAATGTGAGGGGGGAGAGAGTAAACTGGACCAAAGGCATTTTAAAGAAAGTAATCAGTCCGGTTACATACCTGGTGCGGGTGGCTAGCCAGATCCGTTATGTGCATGCGGATCACTTGCGCTTTCGAGGTGAGGGCTCGTCCCGATCAGCCTCTTCAGAGAGTGGATCGAGTGACAGTGAGAGTGTTGATGAACCGGGCGAATGTGAGGTGCCTATGCCACTGAATGCTGGCAGCGGCCTAGCTGCTCAGGAAGTTCGACGGTCGAGCAGAGCTCGACGCCCTCCAAATAGACTGGTGTACTAGTGTTCCTTTATGTAAGTGTGGAGGAGTGTTGTGTATGTATAAAGCAATGTCACAGGTTCCTATTCTCACCACCAGGGTGCGCTGGTCTTTGCTCTGTAAAATGTGTCTTCGCCATATTAAATTTGTTCTTTGTGTGCTGCTGCTCTGCGTGGGAGCGTCTGTTCTTTGGCGCTTCGGCGCGACACAACAAGAACAAAAAAATCGGTCTCAATGTTTGAATGAATTTCAAGGGATGTTTACACAAGGGACACAGTATCCAATTTCGATGGATACCTAGTCACCGTCATATATTTGGAATTAAAGTAGCTGATGCTGGTGCCAAATCTGCCCATTTTCGGACATCAAGTATCAAAGTACCATGCTGCAAAAACGACATACGTTCGTTCAACAATCAACACGCCATCAATAAAACAACAAAATGCTATGGAATACCGCTTCATATCAGTACATCCCCCTATTCCTTAGATCTACATATGTCATTCCACCTTCCATGTGACATGCCTAGTCAGGTAGAGACTTTCATTCATCGAGTAAGAGTTGGTGTAGCATATACAAGAAAATTCCTTCACCCCATTGATCAAGCCATAGCGCCAGAATGCACAAGTTGTGATCTAATTTAAACAATTCAGCACATTATTTGCGATTGTGGGGTCTAAGATGTAAAAAGAATCAAACTCAAAAGGACACTTGCATACCTCGATAACAGACCCTTTTCTGTTGTGGAGGTGCTTGGTGCCTGGTACGAATCACTTAAAGGAGTAAAGGCCACAAAAGCGCTGGTTTTTTTTCTAAAGGAAACGAGACCGGACCCCTGCTTATAGACAATGAATTTCTGTGTTTGTTAACAGTGCCATGTCTATAGTGTTCAAGACTTCACAAAGTAACCTCTCTGCACAAAGTAGCCAGTCGGTACAATTTCCCAGGTCAACCTCTCTCTGTTCCTCTTTTGTTCTTACTTTCTTTCTGCATGTAAAGTTACCATTTGCGAGTACACCGTCACATGAGGCCAAACAAACTTTTTTTCCAATTTCCATGATTGTAAAATCAATGGCATGAGGCGTTTGCACCACCTTTAACGTTTCGACGTCACGTGGGATTTCTCAGTGATGCTAAAACAGAATATCTAGCAGTGGTGCTAAAACAAAATATATCGCAATTTTGAATTTTCGTTTTGTCAACAGAATAGCACAAATCGTGCATAAAATTAAGAAAAAAAGTATTTGATCGGGAACTTACTAAAGACAACTGTCATGACGCAAGCTGAGGAACATAGATGAGACCTCAGTCTCCGTCACAGCGGTGATGCAAGGCCGATTTTCATAATCCTGAATGACGAATTCAAACCCCAAACTCCTGAAATCAATTCATTAATACCAGCTGATATTTCCAGAGCAGCTTATGGATTCTCCAGTAAAACCAGTGCTCCACTCCTTTTGATGCCTTCAAGCAGTCGCGTACCAACTTCTTCTTGAGTGGGGGGGCAAACCAGACCCCCCCCCCTCTAGGATCGGGGGCGGCGCCCTTGGTATCCCTCGGGCGCCACCGGGCAGTGTTCGCCGCGCCCAGCGGTGTCTGTTTCAGGGGGGGGGGGGGGGGGCAAAACACATGCCTTGCCCTCCCACTCTGAGAAATGGGAGGCAAACGTCCCCCTTGCCCCCCCCGGTTGGTACGCCCACGCTTTCCAGTACGAGAGACTGCTGTTACTTCAGGTGAAACTGATATGCCAGCGTCCGGTGGTTGGTATACACAACGTGT